AGGGGAAACTGAGGCAGGGAGGCTGGGAACAGGGAGAACAGGGGGATTTCCCCTTTCCCAGCCCCTCACTGTTCCCTGGTGATCCCTGGGGATCTGTCTGGGACCTGAGGGGCCAGAAGCCCTGGCAGATCCAGGCCCCTGGTGTTCCCGAGGCACCTCTTGGGCAGCCCCCGACCCCATCCAGCCCCGTTCCCACCTCCCACCTGGATCCAGTGTCTGGATCAGGTTGTGGGACAGATCCAGGACCTGCAGGTGCTGCAGGGGCTGCAGGTTCTCCACCCTGCGGATGCGGTTCCCAGCCAGGCAGAGGAACCTGCAGGACACGGGGAGGGCAGTGGTGTGAGCTGGGGGGACACCAGAGCCCCCCCAGGTCAGAGCCAGCAGCAGCAGGAACCCCCCTGGCTTCTCCCCAGGGAAGGAGGGAGCTCTGCTCTCCTCTAAGCATGGAAAACCCTCTCCTGCCTGTACCGTAGGTTGGGGAAGCAGCCCAGGTTCTCAATCTTCTCAATTTGGTTCTGGAAGGGAAAATAAAGAGGGGAGAAGAAATAATCAGACCTTGGGAGCACTCGGGAATGACTCCAACCTCACAGGGACAACGTGGTGCCCTTGGAGCTTTATGGAGAGGGCAAGGGGAGGGTTCAGGAAGACCCTAAAGCTCTTCCTGTGGGTTTGGAAAACATGGATGGGCTGACCCTGGATCCTTGCTCGAATTCCAATGGAAGCACTGGCATGGGAGGGGGCAGCTACCAGGCCCTCTGGCCAGGCAGGGAGGCAAAACTGGGGCAGAACTGGGGGTGTTTGGGGTCCCGCAGGACCAGGACTGATCTCCACCAGCCCTTCACCTGCCCTCCTGCTTTACCTGCTGCAGGTAGAGGCTGTGGATCTCCGGCAGGATCTGGGGCCTCCCGCCAGCACTGATGTTCCCCTGCTCCGAGCAGGTGGTGGAGCTGGACACCAGCTCCGTGGATCTGGAGGAAAAGGGGGTGCTGGGAGTGTCCTCTGTGCCCAGAGACCCCGCCTTGCCAGCCTGCGTGGTGAAGGGGGGCTCAGGGTGGACCCTCACCGGCTCTCTGGGTGTGGGGGCTCCACCAGCTGGGGCAGGTTCCCCCTGACCAGGAGGCTGTTGCTGAAGGTCACCTCAGGGGGCTTCTGCTCCCTGCCTGTGGGAAATTCAGAGTGATGGGGCCCAGGACACGGGGTCCAGCCCCCTGAGCCCCCCAGGGTGACCCCTCGGCGAGCTCACAATGGCTCACTCACCCCCAGGCAGGGTCTCCCTGTGCCCGGCCATGACCAGGAGGTGGCCTGGGTCCTTGTTCCACTCTTGGGCCTTTGGGTGGGTGTGTCGGGAGGGCTGGGCTGGCCCCGCTGCTCTCTGCAAGGGGAATTCCTTCGGGACAATGGGGGGAAGGAACCTGTGGGCCGAGGGGTGTTGGAGGGACCGGGCGGCTGAGCTGGGCGGGACCAGCGCTGGGACCCCCAGATGGGGCAGAGGGATCCCAGGGCCTGGAGGGATCATGGGGACGCGGGTCACCGGTAGAGGGGGCACAGAGGCCCCCGTGGCGAGGCTGGGGAGGGTCGCTGGGCCCCGGCGGCCGCGCAGGCCTCAGCGTGCCGGTTGCTAGGAGACGGGGGACGCCGGAAGGGGCCTGTCCCGCTCGGCGCATGCGCGCGGCGGGTCCTCCGCCTTCCCAGAGGGCTTTGCGCTCCCGCGGAGATGGCGGCGCGGAGCGGCGGGACCTGGCGCCGGGGTGAGAGACCCTCCCGGGACCGGCCCCTCCGGGGGCTGCGGCAGGGCTGCCCTCCCCCGGGGCGGGCGTCGGGCCCGCGCCCCCGGGCCCCCCCCCGCCAGCAGCGCGACCGCAGGGCGGGCGGGGGCCGCGGGCCCAGCGCGGCCCGTTTACGCAACGGAGGGGAAGCCGCCC